AACTGGTGCACGGATGTGAAGATGAAAAGGTTTACCATGTAAAAGCTTCGGAACGCTTTTGTGAGCGGGCTCGAACCATTCGTAAAAAAGATGAATAGATGAGGACGAAAGAAGAGGAAAGCTATGCTATATGGAGGATGAGAAGGGAGAGAAGGGGAAGAGGTTGGCGTAGAAGAAGAAGTTGCTGCTTTTATTGTTCGTTCACTGAAATCTGACGATATAACGACTTTGTTACCCAGCTGAGTCAAAATGTGTACTATTTTGAATGAAAAAAAAGACTTACAAACACTGAGGACTTAGAATTTACTTCTTACTTACTCACATATCAGAATGTTAATAAGATGGGAAGAAAGGAAATTATGGCGATTCCTTTTACGGGTTCGAAATTTGACGAATGGCAGCGGAAAGACACGCAAACTTAAGGATGTATTCGGAAGAGCAGCCAAAGAACACTCCGCCCCAGAAAGTTTAAAGATAAAAATAATTGGAGTCCCGCAGACGAACAAGGTCAGAGGTATCTTTTTACCGTTGATGAGGTCTAAACGAAGGCAATTACTTAAACGGATAGAGCAAAACTGTTCGAACGAGATAACGAAAGAGATAAGGGTTGGGATTCAAAATTGTCTGTTACCGTAAACAAAATCGGAAGAACGAACAGTTTCTATGCGAGAATTGCACACACATTGAAGGAGAATCAAGAAAGTAGTCGACACGAGGGGCACTTTCCGCTTTTTCAAAATATCGACCTCTTCATCAAGTTGGGAAATATAACTATAGCGTGTCAGACTGTCAACGAGGCGCAGATTATTATTTCGATGGTAAGGACGCATCCCAACACTTTTCAAACCTGAGCCATTGTGACTGCTTGATGGTCTGCAGCCGACAGCATCCACTATGATTCAGTTAGGTTAAGTGAACCCACCATTACAAAGAAATAATGCCATAAACTGAGCGAAGTAAACCGCAAGCATGGGATAGACATCTAAAATTAGCAATTGGAGAGGTCCAGTCTATCACCATGACGACGTCCGAGCACACGTTTTACGAAATACAATCCAGAAGCTGAACGAATAAAGCTACGAAACGGATGTATACACAGTTCGACCGTAACTCTCGACGATGTCCGCCACGAGCTTCAGCGAGCTGAAGGCAGACGCGGTGAATATAGCTGTTTTATAGCGAAAGTAGACTCGCAGGATCTACCCCACTCTCTCACCACTTCCATACCTTTACTCGATGTCATGACAATAGTCGAGACGATCGGAGATGGGGGAGG